TCATTTCAGGAACTCAGTTTCAATACTGGGAATGATGGTCCTTTAATTTCTATATATATATATATGATATTTGCTATAGAGTCTGCAAAAATATTTGACAATGAGTTTTAAAGAATACCATCTGCTTTTTCTTTGACCACAGGTGTATAGAGTCTGCAAAAATATTTGACAATGAGTTTTAAAGAATACCATCTGCTTTTTCTTTGACCACAGGTGTGTTATCACACTTCAAAGAACAGTTGAGGGAAGACCCGGAGATGTCCGCTGCTGTAGCTGCCATCAAAACTCTTGTCAAGCTTATTGAAACCAGTCGAGGTAAACTTCAGGTTCTTTTTTAATCTTCTCCTCCTTGACTTCCTCGAGCTCTTCCTCGTTTTCATGTCGTGCTTCCTCCTGCTTCTTCTCCCCCTTAATAATAATAATAGATGGCTTTGGTATAGCGCAAATCCCCGCTCAACAGCAAGCTCTATGGGCTTCACAATCTATACTATTACCCAAGCAGACCTGAGAGCATTCTGAAACAACCTCAACTTCCTGGGAAGCATACAGTGCAAGCAGCCATTTATAGGGGCTAAAACACTAACATACTGACAGGATCTTTGGCTGTCTCTATGACCGGGTACTCATTCCCACACGTGGGTGAAGTGAGAAAAATTTGTGTAAAGCGCCTTTCCCTTCTCTCCCTCTACTCTGTACACCACAGTCTTTGTCTTCTATATCTTGTTATTCATTTTTTTCTTCTATATCTTCTTATTCATTTTTTTCTTCTTCTCATCTCCCCTCAGGGAACTTTTCTTTGCATTGATGTTATTATTCCCTTGACCTTTTTGAGGAGTGACATAACAGCCAGAAATATTGTTTTGTTGTCCCGTCATTCATGACCAAAAATTGCCTTCTTACATCATTCTGGTTCTAAATTCTTCTATTCCCTTAGTCATACTATGCTAGGTTACATCGAGAAAAAAATTCATTTTAATGTTTGTCCTTTCTCTGGCTCATAGATGCCATGCCACTGTTTACAGAATAGATGAGGATTCAAATAAAATTGTCTCAATTCACCATGGGAAAAAGTACTGGCCCTGTTATAAAACTGTTCGGTCGGATTAAGGAACATGCTTTAATAAAGTAATAACCACTCAGGTAAGTGTAAGTAGGGTTTTGAAAGACTGTGTATATGCTACACAAACCTTTTATGCTTTCTTTGAGTTAGATGCAATGATACCTCCCCTGGGGGGGGGGGGGTAATTCTATACATTAGAGTAGCAAACTTGACCTTGACAGATAAAACCCGACCTTTACTCCATTCAAGAGCGGGGGATATAAATGTTCTTGGAAAAGTACGAACTATAGAAGGAAATAAAGAACTACGAGGCTTTCTTCATCCGACTAGATCTGGTATGATGATAAGATATTATGAAGATAAGATATGATGATGATAATATATGAATAGGTAAGTTCGTTCAGATAAATCTTTCGTGTCCTATGCTGGCAAATTGGTTTGGTGTTAACTGCACACACACACACACACACACACACACACACACACACACACA